CATCATTTTAAAACGCTTGTATTGCTCCAAAAAGTTGTTTCATGCCCCTTTGTAGTCAGTCACTGTCCTGACCCCGATCCCATGCAACCACCAAATTGCTTTCTGTTACTATAGTTTGCCTTTCCTAGGATGTCATAGAAATGAAATCATTTTTTAAAATATATTTTTATTTTTTTATAAATCTGCTGAGAGTTGAGGTCTATTTTATTTTATTATTTTTTAAATATATTTTTATTGATTTCAGAGAGGAAGGAAGAGGGAGAGATAGAAACATCCCTGATGAGAGAGAATCATGGATCGGCTGCCTCCCGCAAGTCCCCCATTGAGGATCGAGCCGACAACCCGGGCATGTGCCCTTGACCGGAATCGAACCCGGAACTCTATCCACTGAGCCAAACCGGCTAGGGTGAAATGGAATCTTTTTTTTTTTTAATTTTTTTTTGGGGGGGGAGGGGGCCCCGGATATGAACCATGGAATCATTTTTTACTTCTGTCACTTAGTATAATGTTTTTGAGATTCAACCAACCAGTCTTATTTGTTGAGTAGTATTATTTTATCCACTCAAAGTTGCTATGAACATTTTCAGATGAGTCTTTGTATGAAAGTATGCTTTCATTTCTTTGGAGCAAATAGCTAAGAGTGGAATTGCTGGGTCACATGGTGAGTGTATGTTTAACTTTTAAATAAAAATGTCAAACTGTTGCCCTAGCCGGTTTGGCTCAGTGGATAGAGCATCGGCCTGCGGATTGAAGGGTCCCAGGTTCAATTCTGGTCAAGGGCACATGCCCAGGTTGCAGGCTCCATCCCCAGTAGGGGGGTGTGCAGGAGGCAGCTGGTCAATGATTCTCTCTCATCATTGATGTTTCTGTCTCTCCTTTCCTCTCTGAAATCAATAAAAATATATTAAAAAGAAAAAAAGAAAGCCTACTAACACATTTTTTAAACAAATGCCAAACTGTTGTCCAAAATGACTGCCATTTTTGCATCCCTACCAGCCACAGATGAGGGTTCTAAATGCTCTATACCCTTGCCAACACTTGGTCTTATGTCTTCTACATTTGATTAATTTTAATGGGTGTAGTGGTATCTTATTGTGATTGGTTCCCTGTTGCTCTCTCCACACCCCCACCTCCACCCCAAGGATCAAGGTTAAAGGAGCAGATTCAGAAAGCTGCCTAGTTATTCTTGGCAGGAGAGAAGTTTGATCCGAAAGCGCTCCAGCTCCAGATGCCAGGAGAGGACCTGGCATGTTGTCTAGGCATGACCTTTGCCCTGTCCTTCAGCCAGTACCCGCAACTGTTTGAATTAGCAAATATTTACTAGTGTCTCACACTCTCCACCCATCCTCCCACCCCCTGCTCCCAGCCAGCTATGTTCCCAACACTGAGGCTCAAACTAGTCCTGCCCTTCCTTGGAGTGAGCAATCTCCCAAGCCAGCAGGGAAACAGATGCCCTGACAGACGCTGGCCCTAAGAACAGACTTTCCTTGGCTTTGGTTCCATGCCTCATGTTTTCACACATATGCCTTTTCTTCCACCCAGTGAGGTGGTTCCAGTTATCGTCACTGTTTTATGGATGAAAAGACACTGAGGCTCAGAAACTAGTCCTGCCCTTCCTCGGAGTGAGCAATCTCCCAAGCCAACAGGGAGACACATGCCCTGACAGACGCTGGCCCTAAGAACAGACTTTCCTTGGCTTTGGTTCCATACCTCATGTTTTCACACATATGACTTCTTCCACCCAGTGAGGTGGTTCCAGTTATCATCACTGTTTTATGGATGAAAACTAGGCCCAAAGTTGTGACGTAACTTGTACAAGGTCACACAGCCAGAACTCGGCAGAGCCAGGATTCGAACACAGGAAGTCTGGCTCTTAAGTCACATCTTCCCCATAGAGGGGATTTGCGTTGTTAATAGGAATCTGCCTGCAGGGCAGTGCCCTGCTTCCCCCTGCCACTTGAGAATCCTCCAAGAGAGTGGGCCTCCAGGAGAAAGTCACCCCCAACATATACCCTGGACAGACTGATGGCCCTGCCTTGAGAACCCAGCAGCCATGCAGAACTAAGGGGAGCAAGCCAAGGGGAACCCACAAACTCAGGGCGGTCAGGGCCTGCAGGGCAGAGATTGGTGAACCTGGGGTAGCCTCTCTGGTGCTATCACAGGTGGGGCCCTGTGAGCAGTGTGAGCATGTGACCACCAGGGGGTAATGCAGGATCGGACGTGCACACCTGGACCCAGCCAGTGAGACAAGGTACTGGCAGCTCCTCCCAGTAGACACAGACAAGTGTCCATACCCTGGCCAAACTTAGTTTTACACACACACACACACACACACACACACACAAATAGGGTTCCATCAAGTTCCACAAGGTACTGGATGTATCTTTGAACAAGTCATTTAGCTTCTTTGTTCTTTAGTTTTTCCATCTATTAAATGGGAACAATGTTAGTGTTCCCCTTCACAGATCTGCTGTGAGCATTGAATGATCATTAGCTGTAAGGTGCCTAGAACAGTGTCTTACACACAGCAAATGCTCAAAAAATGCTTCCTGGTATAGGTATGGACATAAACTTCAACCACACTGTCTGAAAAAATCAGATGGTTCCCTGACTACGACTTAAAGATGGACGAATTAGCGATTTTAGGGGGTGTCATCGTAACTTTGGCATGGGTCTCTTCCACTTTAACACTTGGGCCTGTGCCTGCCCACAAGTGGTAGCAGATGGAGCCCCATGGTGTTTTGAATGACAGGCTGAGTGCCCTCTCAGCAAAGTGGCCCTCTTAGGTTCTCAGGGAAGCCATCATCCAAGCCCCTCTCCCACTCTGCCTGCAGCCCCTCCTCTTGGATTTTAGACCCACCCCCTCTTAACCCTCCCCAGTTCCCTGTCCATCTTGTCCAGGCCCTGAAAGACTACTCCAAGAATAGAAAGAGACTTGGCAGGGGACACCAGCTCTTTTACTTGGGAATAGTGGTCCCCACACATCCCTCTTCCTTCTCCCTGTCCATCAGCCCCAGACCCCTCATGCCTTAAGGGCATCATTGCCCACTTGAGTGTCTCCTGATGTGCAGTTGCCCCTCCCTACTGTCCCTGAGCGAGCCTCTTCTGATTCCAGGGGCCTTGACATCCATCCTCTCCCTCAGGTCTCTGCATAGTCCTCCGGGGTCCTGAATGGATCCCTACTTTACAGATGAGAAAACTGAGAATCAGAGAGAAGCACCTTGCTGAGGCCACAGAGAGACTGAGGACAGAGCCAGGACTCATTCCCAAGTCTATTGGCCTCCAGATTGCTTGTCCTTCACCGTCCAGAATATGCTCTCATATCGAGACAGTTTTTTCCAGCTGCTGGAGTGGAGGTCTAGGGGCTGATGTAGGGGGAGGAACTGGGATTCTAATAGGTAGCAAGGCTGGCAAGGGAGGCTTAGAGTGAGGGGCTTTGCACAGCACAGCCCACAGAGAGATGACAGGGATCACTGCTGTTCACTCAGATGCTGGTACAAGCCCCCTCTGTGCTTCAGGCCTGGATATTGAAATGATCAGTGTGCACAATGCTGCCCCAACCAGACTCCAGGGTCTCACCCCCACTGATTGGGTCTGCTGGTGAGGGGGACATACAGGGTTGAGTCTTCCTACCCATGGAGGTCAGTATCCAGGCCATCCTTCTCCCCAGACTCTAGGCCCATTACACCCCACACTATCTGAGTCCCCAAGGAAGTGACGACTGAATTTGGTCTGCCTGGCCAGTGTGGCTCAGTGGTTGAGTGTCAACCTATGAACCAGGTGGTCACGGTTTGATTCCTGGTCAGGGCACATGCCAGGGTTGCAGGCTTAATTCTCAGTAGGGGGTGTGTAGGAGGTAGCAATCAATGATTCTCTCTTACCATTGATGTTTCTATCTCTCCCACCTTTCTTCTCTGCAATTAATAAAAATATTTTTTTAAAAAAAAGGACTAAGCCCAGTCATAACTCCCCTTGGATGAGGTGAGCAGTGGTGGGAGCCCTGGGCCCCTCAGGCCTCCTAGGAGACCAAGCCACCCTCAGACCAGATGCAGAATCACCACAGGGGTCTCAGAGCAGCTTGACAGGTGGGTGGTCCCATCCCCTCTGCCTGGCCCCATCTCCTGAGGGGACCTCTGTGTGGCAGACAAAAGATGAGGCAGAGCCAGGGCAAGCGCCTGGGAGCTGGTGTCCAGCCTCTGTCACGACCATCCCCTGGGATGGGAGCTGCCTAAAGTCACCACCTGAGAGCCAGGAGGAATCTCACTCCCAGTGTGACTGACTCTCTGGGACCCTCACACCAAAACCTGAGTGAGGCTCCTGGCCCTTCCAAGCCTCCCAGCGCCTCACCTGTGCCTTGGTCCCCAGGACCTTCATTCCTGCAGGGCAGTGCCCTGACCTCCATGTGGCCAGCTGGAGCGCACCTGGTCTCAGCCTGGGTCTGGGGAGCAGGTGGGGGGAGAGAAGACTAGAAATGCCAGGCCAGAGTTCTAAGAAAGAGACGGCATTGGCTGCAGCAGCAAGAGAGCCTAATGACACCTGTGAACTCTGAAGCCCGTGTTGGGACTGCCCATGTTAGGGCCACCAGAAAAATACAGGTGGGCAGTGGGAATTCCTCAATCATCTCCTCATTGGACCAGATGTTCAGTGAGGGCAGGCTCAGGTCTGAGCTTCTTACTCTACACCCCAAACCCAGGCCACCTCCAGGCCATGGGGTAAGCCCACCTGTGGGCAGCCAAGGCAGTCCTTGGGAGCCAGTCTCCAGGTTGTGTCTCTCCATGAGCTCGGGCAAGTCCTTGCCTCTCAGAGCAGACTCCAGTTCCCTGTCTGCATTAAGGCTGGGTGCGTTGGTCTCTTGCAAGAGGATGCAGGAGTCTGGCTCTGTAGGAGTTTGGCACATCCAAAAAGGCATAATAGAAGGGGATGAGCTGAATTTTGGAGGATAACTAGGAGTTCGCCTGATTGACAATGCAAGAAAGGGCATTATACACAGAGGAGACGGCATGAGCGTAAGCCCCCATCCTCTGTTCCCCCACTCATTTCTTTTAAGTAATAAGCCACTGTCCATCGGTGGCAGTGTCCTGCGGGGCCTTGGCCAAGTCATTTCTCCATTCTGGGTCTCAGTTTCCTTACCTATACAACAGGAATAATGATGATGATGATGACAATGGCAACAAGAAGGATGTTTGGAAAGAGTCTTGGCTGGGCCAGATGTGATTCTGATACACAGCACCAGGCGACTCCTCCCCTGAGTCAGCTGGCATCCTGCTTTTGGAGGGAGACCTCACCTGGTCCACTACAGACACGTCTGACAAGTGGATGGGGTGTCCTTAGAGGCCAGATTGTAGGGTGAGGCCAAGGTCCTGGAGAGAGAAGAAGCCTGTGCTCAAAGCAGGCTCAGCATCTGGGCCTGGGATGAAGGCAGCGAGCATGGCTCTGAGCCCACCAGGACTCTGACCTGCCCTCCTACCCACAGGGGGCAGATAGGAACCCCCCAGGGGCTTGATTCACCCCAGTGTCTGCCGGGAACATCCTCACCTGGGGGGTCCAGGAGTCTGACTCCAAGCTTGTCCAAGCCTGCTTCTGAGCGTCCCTCAGTTCTCCCCTCCAGGCTTTCCACGTGTCTGGAGAAGGAACCCTTCCATCCAGCCACCTGCCTAAAGGCTATCCTTCCCCAAATCAGAGGGAGTGCCGCTGGGCAGGAGCCCAGGAGCCAGGCCTCACTCAGGACCCAACCAGGCTGCAGCAGATGCCAGGATCAGAAAGACTCTCGGGGAACCCTAGAACCTCCTCTAGAAATTCCAACTCAAGGAGTGGGGGGCAGACTGGATGGTGGGCTGGCCCCGCCTCCCACAGCCCCGGTTCCTACCCTCTCCTTCCCGCTAGGGAAGGTTCCCGCCTCCCAATCTCCACCCTACCTTTCTGTCAGTACTGGGGTCCCCCAACGACCACCCCAATCCTAAAGCCCCAGCCACCACCCCCAGAACTGGTTGGACTTGGTGCCCCGCCCACAACACACACACCTTTGTGGCCTTTCCCCTTTTGTGCCCGGCTCCTAGGGCCTCCACGTGGACGAAGCCCCTCCTCTCGTCCCTCCTCCCCCTGCCTCCGCGTGCCAAGCTGGCGAAGGAACTGCGCGCAAACTCGTCTCCTGGGGGCCTCTGCGGCTCAGCTCCTGCTGAGCTGACTCCCCGCTCCGGAAGCAGCGCCCCTTCCTCTCCTCCAACACCCGCCAGCCCCCGTCCCCCCTCCAGCAGCAATTACCGGCCGAGGCGGCTGGGGAAGGGCCAATTAGTGCGGGAGATGCGGCCCCTGCGCGGTACCCCCTCCGACCGCAGCCCCC